GGATTTTTTCGCCCTATCTGTCAGCCAGACATACCATGGAATGAAAGCTCAACTGCAACAGAGAAAACAGCGTGAAAACAGGAAGTGTCCCGTTCCCCTTACACGAGACGCACGATGTGACGTCACAAGCGACTCTGCTACAAAACGTTTTGCTTCAGTCGAGCCTCTCTAAGCTAGATCTTCGTAAAAAGTAAAGTAATTCTCTCTCTCTCTCTTTCTCCCTCTTTCTCTCTCCTGCTCTTTTCTACTTTTTCCTTCTCTTTCCTTCTCTCTCTCTCTTCTCTCCTTCACCCCCCCCCTCTCTCTCTCTCGCACGATGTGACGTCACAATCGACTCTTTGCTACAAAACGTTTTGCTTCAGTCGGGCCTCTCTCTAAGCTAGATCTTCGTAAAACTCAAAGTAATTCTCTCTCTCTCTCTCTCCTTCTCTCTCCTTCTCTCTCTTTCTCCCTCTTTCTCTCTCCTGCTCTTTTCTACCTTTTCCTTCTCTTTCCTTCTCTCTCTCTCTTCTCTCTTCTCTCTCCTTCACCCCCCCCCCCCTCTTTCTCTCTCCTGCTCTTTTCTACTTTTTCCTTCACTTTCCTTCTCTCTCTAACGGAGCGATCACATGCGTAGGATAAACATTTATATGATAGGCATAAGTTTAATGACCTCTCCCCTCTATTTCCCCCTCGACTTCCCACGGTACCCAAGACCCTAGTGGTAATCGACTGTGCCAAGTTTGACCTGCGCCCAGAAAGTAATAGTGAAGTGCCCACAGAGCAAGCGATTCCGACCCTTACTGTCGAATATTTTATAACTACATGTTAATTTATATCTTGATTATACTCAAAATGTTTGTTAAAAAATCCTTATTTTCAATCACTATGTTTGTAATAATTATTTTTGACGATATTGTAGTTATCTGATGTTCACTATATAATTGTATTGACATATCCAGTGTCCCTGACCAGACCTGTGACCACAAGACCCTTACCCTGTTGTAAAACAGAGAGCCTGTACTGACATTTCCCACGAAAGAACAATGTTGCCATATTATTATGTTAGTGAATATTTTGTGAACCATTTGAAATCTCGGAGAGCCGAAATCACTCTGCCCTCAGCATCGGCTCAGGCAACACCTCCAGCTCTTTCTCGAGACCGCTCGCCTCGCGGGCGTGGCACGAGGCCTCGCTCCTCCTTGGGCGACTCTGCCACGCCTGACCTCTGTACACCACCTACCATATTCCCGTGCAAATAAAAGTACTTGGAACTGAGACAACTTTAACTTCAACTACCACCACTTCAAGAAACAATCGGAGTACCATACATACTGGAAAGAGAGAGGGGATATCATCAACAACACCTATATATATATTACAATAAGTGAAGTCAGATGACCATGAATAGAAGAAATACCAGAAAAGGAAGTTGGAGTCTTCATGTGTAAGAGGAATGCACGATTAAGGGTCTTTACAGTATCGGGGAGGGTGCCATTAAATTCAACGGACAACCATTCTGTTACAAGGCATGGGAATAGCAATTGAACAGTGACAAAAAAACGTGAATTTACAATGGTTCTGGACGATTTAAACGCAAGAGTGGGAAGAGTAAGAGGAAGAGATATCTTTAGGCCGTTTGGTCTTGGGCAAAAGGCATGGAAGAAGTGAGAATAATGAACACTTGGTTTTGTCATCATCCAAGGCACTTACATACGTGGAAGTTGCTATGAGATAACATAAGGAATCAAAGTGACTTCTTTAGATGTAAGATTCAGTAATGATGAGTCACAAATGCAGATTGCAACAGCGATCATCATGTTCCTGTGATAGCTAAAATTGGAACTGAGCTCAAACGTATAAATAAATCAAAGATAAAGCCAAAATGAGATTTAAAAAACGTGAAGAAATCTAGATATAAGAAACCAGTTAGAAACAGAGGTAAAACAAAAAAAGTTTGGTGTTCAACAAGAATCAGAATTGGAGGATAACACTCAAATATAATGTGCTACGAATGAAGGAATTAAGCAACGAAAAAAACATAAAGCTAAGATACCACAGATGACTCTAGAACTACTCAGAAAGATGGAAGAGCTTAGAACAAGGAAAGACAAGGATAAATATCATGGGAACGAATAGAATCGAACACAGGGTATGTCACAAAGCAAAGGAATATTGGTTATACATACAACGTGGAAAGGTAGAATAATATGAAAAAAGAGACCATGGTAGGATGTACGATCAAATGGCGAAAATAAAATAAAGACATTCTTAAAGGACAAAATCACAAGGAAAGTAATGTTTGAAAGGGGGAAAAAAGAAGTAAAGAAAACGTGAAAAGCGGTCATTATAATTATTATGATGTTTTTTTACATTAGTAACAGCAAAATAAGATAACGTAAAATATTTTGTGAATCAAAGAAAAGGGTGAACGGGCGAGACAGGCGGTACTCGTAACTGGCTCATTGGTGATTTAGTACAAGTGTAGCTATCTATGTTTGAAAACAATCTAACAAGCAATCTCACAGTGGGCATGGCATGGCATGCCCGGCGGGAATGGGTTAATAACCGCTTTTCACGTTTCCTTTACTTCTTTTTTCCCCAAGATGAAGGAGGACGTAGAAATAACTATAATTGAAGAAAACAGGAAATTAAATTCCACACCCTGAAAGCAAATTAGCGATGGAAGTTATGGGGCCAGGAAAGGATATTTGTAAAGACGGTAAAGCCATAGAGATGCTAAAACGTCTTGGCGATTTTTTCATTAGAAGTTATAACCAAGTCAGCGAAGGTAATTGATGTAACCGGTGCGAATTAATAATCACCACAATGACAAAGTATCAGGTATATGAAAGTGTTGTAAACATCATGAGTCAGGTAACAACAACAACAAAAAAAAACAATCATAAAAATAATAAAAAATAAATCCCGGACTTGCAATAAATCAACAACGTAACATCAACCGAAAGGGATGGAAACAAAATGTGATGAAGAATAGTAAGGATAACACGGACGCAGAGGAAAACACATAAAGAAGAGAACTGATGAGAAAGAAAAGAGAGACAAAATTGAAATTCCTAGGCCTAGTAGCGCTAACTGAAAAGCGTGCAAAGGGAAGACAGAGAGGTGTATGGATGGACTGATAAAAATGTTTAAGGAAATTACAACAAACACCCTTGAAATCCACAAAAAAAACAAACAAACAAACAAGATTGGAAGTCAATAGTTGCCGACGTCAGAGAGGATTTGGCACCAGAGACGTAGTAACAGTAACATCAGTATGGGTTATGAGATCGGTGTCTGTTCGATACAAGGTCTTGTGTGTAGCATCCCGAAACTCTTTACACTTTGATTTATTGTTTCAAGTTGCATCATGAGCGCTACAAATCACGATATCATCGAAGTTTGTACGGATATATGTAGTTTTGAAAAAGGTTTTTTTTTTATTTCATATATAAGGTTAACTGGAAACTTTAGTATTACATGCAACATAATGAGGAAGCTTCAAATTAAAAAGGGAAAAAGTGCCTGATTACTGTCATTCATATTGTTTATGCACGTCACATCGCTTCGCAAGCCTGGAAACTTTTAAATGTAATTTTCATATTTAGTCAAAATATTTTTATTTTTATTATTATATATAATGTTAACAGTTTATACGAAAAGCAGGAGTTGCACAAGATTTTGCATCTCATTGTCTCCACGAAACTTCCATCCTGATCACCGAGTCTCCAGTGATTCCGTAATCCGCTAGAGTTTTGTCATTTTGCATTTCCTCTTGCCTCACCATCAGCCGCTGCCTGCCGGCCTTCACTCCAGCGCGAGTGAGCTTCGTGTTCAAATCAGACAAATGGATAATTCCAATGATCACGGGCATTTACTTGACTTATTGATTGAAGCATATCAATAAATCAAGATACACAGCTTTCTCATTGATATTTTTGAGCCTGTAAGGCCAAAACATAGAGGCACAGAATGAATTTGAAGACATTTATCATACCGAAGTCAATACCACGTCATATGACTTGGACATTGGAAATTCTTACCATGTCGTTCCAGTGGCCGTCATGATCAACTTCAGAATTTACCCATATAGAGTGAATATATATTTGACGTACTGCTAAAAAGGCACATAAACATTTTACGTACCTTTACAATAAAGAGAAGCAAACGATATTCTTTGTAATGAATGAAAATATAAATCCCTATCTGAGACTACGTAATCCACAGCTCAGCCCGACGGAAGCAAAACGTTTTGTAGCGAAGAGCCGCTGGTGACGTCACATCGTGCGTCTCGCGTGAGAAGGATATGCTATTACCCGCCAAGTTTTATGGACTTCAAACGTTTTCCCACTTTCTCTTTCATTATTAATGCCATTTTAAAAATATAGTTTGATAACTATTTATGTACGAATGATTGATAGAGTTCATGTCAAGTTGATAGACTACAAGCGCGCGCAAGTTAGTAATCTGAAGGACTCTTGTTTATTAACTCGCAGTTACACATGACTCGCCGTTTCCTTTTCTTGATCAAATCGTATGAGCTGCATGTTACTTATTCTGTAAGTGAAGAGATACCAATGTCAGTGAAGGATACCTCTCGGAGAGCGCAAACAGGTACACTGCGCGTAATCTTTAGAACGAACGGTAAAGCCATTTACGGCGACTGTGGCTGCAGGCAAGTCCTATATAAAAGACCTTGGCCACAGGTGTTCTCAGTCCGGGCAGAATAGGGGAAGGTAGGAGTGGTCGCTGCCGCAAAGGGTGCGTTGTTAGTTTCATATTATGAAACTACACGAATTTTACGTTCCGATAACTCGCTGTTTCTTTACAGGGCAAGTTGGAACTGAATCACCGACGAAAAGGGAAACACGTGAGAAAGACAAGACCTTCCTTTTTCATCCCGACTTCGCATCGACATCATGTTTTCCCCGATCAGTCTCCCCGGCTTCCTCCTCAGCGTGGTGACATCTTCGGGAGGAGTCGTGAAGGTGGTGGTGGGCTGCGGCACGACCATCGGC